CCGGAAATATATCGAGTTTAACCTGTTATTATCATTTTAACGGTTTATGCCTTGAGAGTTCACCCTTTCATAAATTAACGCTGTAAATAATTTGAGAGTTGAATCAAGGTGTTGTGACCTTGGTGTCACTCACGTCCACATTCCGGTCGACTTCCAGACACAGGCAGTCTGGACACTGGTCAGAGCTTGAACGCTTGACGTGACGGAGAACGCTGCTACCTTCACAACTATGCTATGACTATTATCACTTATCATCCTCGAAGACCGATAACGCGTGATATATCACCAGTATGTACACTGTCTCCCCCGGTCAAAGCACGTTACTTCATCACAGTCTCGTAAACCTTACCGGCCAGGTCTGACTCACACAGAAGTGGGGAACACGTTTCCTTGCCCTTTGTGGTCGACCACTGCGCGCCATTGTCGGTTACGTCAGTGCGCATAATACCCACGCACCCACCGGATGTCCATTGACAGCGCGTGGCGGACAGTAGCAACCCAGGCCTTGCCTGTCATCTGTGGGACTGAGTTAAAGGGGGTATAACAATGGTTTATCTCCTCTCGCGAGAGCCTGTATGACATTTTCCTGCTCCGGTTGAAATATGTCAATTGTTTGTTGGGTTCTATCGTGTGGTGCTTCGAGGGCATGCGACCTCCTTGAGGTGACGTACGATTCGTTTATTAGTATGAACGATCACCAGGAGAAAAATGACGAGGCAATCTCGATACCCATAAAACAAAGATGCAGTGTTTGATTAAATTAGTATGATTCTTAAAACTGTACTTACCCACAACAGACAAGAGTAAGTGTCAAAGTTGGAAAAAGAAGTCGACCCGTGAAGATACGGGTCGGAATAGGTCTTCAGCAACCCATGCTTGCCATAACATGCGACAATGCTTGTAGCAAGAGGCGACTGACGGGATCGGGTGGTCAGGCTCACCGACTTGGTTGATGCATGTCATCGTATCCTAATTGCGTAGATCGATGCTCATGATGTCAATCACTGGATTGTCAGGTCCAGACTCAATTATTTACAGACCGCCGTCATGCGGCGTTAAACATCAAACAAAACAAGCGTTCAAGGCCACAGCACAGCTTTCATAATGTTTTATGGTACACATGTGGAACACATTTCCAAATTTGACGCATCAGTGATAAACAATGTGACAATATGTACCATAAATTCCCGTATTTTTTCAGGTGAACACTTGACTTGCCTTTGCATGTGTTTTCGACGAGGGCCACCGATGAGGCCGGGTACGCTCACCTTTTCGCCAACACATGACATCATCACTTGAGATTCCTTATGATTATGGAAAGAGTTATGGCGCTTTTATTTAGAGTCTGCCTGGTCACATTACATTACGAAATGCAGTCAGATGTCCAACACAACGTCAAAATGAAACAAAGTAAAATTGTCTACTAAATCCAACTTTTTAAACTTCGGGTCCCACAATCAGGTGTCTTGGAACTGATGTCCCGATCTTGTTGCCTATGTACGCTTGCAAATGTATCAGCTGCGTCTGATTTTTGGTTTCGTACACTATTATTTCCATAATTATCCCCGGAATTTGTCTAGATGCCCATTTGTCAATTCTGACTAGATAGACAAGGGCGACGCCATGTTTGTTTGTAAACGCTGTCAGTAGTTACTACTTGACCTTTTGTATTTGCATAAATATCCGCAAATGATGCCAACGAATACCGTTTTTATCCTCTCGCTTTATCCTGTTATAAAACCTACCCATTATATGACAAACTGCATTTATTATTTTCAATTGTTGGTTTGATTCCAGCAATTGGTGGACTGCATAGAAAGGCATGGCGATGTCATGTGAGTGAGTTGTGTTCAACGCCGCTTTAAACAGTATCAGTTATGTGACTGCGCGTGAACCTACTGTGGGAGGACACCATGAAGAGATTCGGGCGGCGGGTCTACTAATTTGGTTCCTGACACAAGCACGAGTCTGGCGCTGACGATTAAAGAACTCACAGGAAAATGAGTGAGTGAGTGAGTTTGGTTTTACGCCGCTTTTAGCAATATTCCAGCAATATCACGGCGGGGGACACCAGAAATGGGCTTCACACATTGTACCCATGTCGGGAATCGAACCCGGGTCTTCGGCGTGACGAGCGAACGCTTTAACCACTAGGCTACCCGACCGCCCCCACAGGAAAATGAACAGGAGTTGGCAAGACATTTAGTTGGATAATTACAGACAGTCTACTGCAATGCTGATGTCAGTGTCCAATAATTGCAATAGTCCAGGAGCCTGAACTGAATTCGAATAATAGATATATGCACTTTATCAAGTCATGTATAGACTGCTGCTGAGGAAGTGAGTAGGAACAGGTTAGTCCAAGCTTCGGAAATAACTCCCGTACCTCAATTTGGACCTCTTAGACAGGTGCTTCCTAAACGACCGAAGACCCCCTTTAATGCTTTGAATGCTTTCAGCTTGCTTTGCATATTTTGTGTTTATTGAATACAGACTCAAATGTGTTCGGCAAACGACTTGACAAACAAGCCAGAATATGAAACTTGGGATCATTTCTAACAAGCTTGGCATGCGAATTCCAGGTGAGTGGTTACAGCTATGAATACCTCGGCCATCTTGTTCCATACTGCAGGCATTACCAGCTTACGACAGCTGACTTGTCTGGGATTACAATGCTGTGGCTACACCGTCCCGTAAAGCGTTTCCCATGTAGTGTTTACCTACAAGCACCCCCACCCCGGTCTAACAGCGATTAGCAAACCCACAGGTGCCAACGATAATCCGATAAGCGCCGCCAAGACAAATCTCCACCCTATGGCAATGCATATAATTTCAATTTTCTGAGTCCGACGGAGTGGAAGTCAGTGAGGCTCGGAGGTCGTTAGTAGATCAAGTTAGATCGCGTGGACTCAAGTGGAGTCCTGCTGGTTTAGGTCTGTCGCCAGGGCGTACCATAATGCATGTTTGTCTTCGAACCCCAGGAACCAAAATTGAGTAACGGTCAATAATACTTCATCTCCGCTAAATCGCTAATTCCAGGGTTGTAACACGTAATGTGTATCAATACTTGTTGGTTTTGGGACATCCGTTTGTGATAGTGGTCAAGTGCAATGGTGATCGTATATAATAAGTGTGTGAGTGAGGGAGTTACAAGTTAACGTCGTACCGGCATTATTTCCGCCATATAGCGACTCGTACATGTTGAAGTGAGCATTGGCATAGTTATGCCACATACACCCTTTGCAAAATTCTTTACAGGTTGAAATATGAGCAGATTTGCAGTCTTCACTTCAGGCTTACCCGTTACTCACGCGTGTACGTCCTGCCAATCTAAAATGCTGTTCAAAGCGCCGTTAAACGCTTCTCTGCTGAATTTCCCCCCCCCAAAAGACACTATACTTGGGATATGATTTGTTTGTTTGTTTATTTGTTGTTTAACGCCGCATTCAACAATATTCCTCCTATGTGGCGTCGGTCTGTAAATAATCGAGTCTGGACCCGACAATCCAGTGATTGACATCATGAGCATCGATCCACGCAATGATATGCATCAACCAAGTCAGCGAGTCTGACAACCCGACTGCTTACTCGCCGACAGCCGTCATATAGCTGGAATATTGCTGCGTCCGGCGTAAAACAACAAACAAACAAAAAAATCCTCCGCTGAGTGTTCCGTATTGGATGTGTGCAAAGGGCATTTTGTAGCCACATATTTGTATTAAATACAGTGACCTCAGTGGACGTGACCATACCTTTCAGAACGAGTGTATCAAATTGCACTATGGCAGATGAAGGAATAGTCTAAAGGGCCACAAATCGGTGATGGTCAGTTTCATCATGGCGCCAAGACGACAACTGATTTGCTGTAAAACTCACTCACTTACTCACTCACTCACTCACTCACTCACTCACTCTCTGAGTAGTAAGAGACATCTTATCGTGGAAAACCACACAACGAGCATATTGCGGTTTGACGTGTGAAACGTGTAGACGCGCAGACGGGGTAGACAATTGAGCTACAAAATTACTACCCACAGGTGAGGTGAGGTGAAATGGGGTTTAAGGTCTAGTTTGCTACACTTATATAGTGCATGCACGTGTGGCTGCTTGAGCTAGTCAGGACTAATATCGATTTTATAGTGCTAGCCCAATTGCTAGCCGCTAGTGCTAGTGCCGCAGTTTAATATGAATACTCGACTCAGACAGAGTACAGCCGACCAGTCCTTGTTTTAGCCGGGGATCGAACCCCGACCTTCCTCTCTCCGGGCGGACGCTCTATCCACTAGACCACGGAGGCGGTCTACTAGCCACGAGACTTATGTAGTAAAGGCATTTCTTGTGACAACGGCAAAACTATACTTGACTTTGTAACTTGTAAAACTATTTTCACTTAGACAGTTTTATTTTGTTGCCATTGCATCGTGATCAAAACACGTTTGTCTTTACATTTTAATTTGTGCGCATGTTTCATAACGCAATACTACTACGAAATCCTAATGGTGCCACCTTGGTTGCACAATTTAATCTTTGTCAAATCAACATTTCTCGTTATTTCAGTTATTTTCTATGTTACTTCGAATATTTTCTTGTTATTCAGGTTTCTTCAAAGTTACTTCGAATACATTTTTTGTAATTCTTTCTCGCAATTTCGATTATTTCGAGTTATTTTCTCGTTCAAATGTTACCAAAGTGACATCATTAGGCTTTCGAAATACTACTGGCCACCAGACTAAGAAAGAGGTTGCCGTTGTACAAAGCCTTAGCGCTACAACTGTCGTAAGTCTCTGTTAAGTTATCACCAGGCTCGAAAATCGGTTTGTACAAGGACGCTCAGGTCATGCAACTTCCCGTGTACTACACCCATCACACGTTTTCTGCACTACACTTATTCCGGGAGAATAAACAACACGCGTTGAAATTACGCATGTGAACAAATACGCATGACGCAATAATGGTTGTGACGTCACGGTAGTGGAATAGACATCAATGAGTGACGTCACAATCACGATTACTACTTACATTGGACGGTGTGCCAGCAAGCCGCACTATGCCGATCGAAGCTGGTGTACAGAAGAAGGGTTCTTTGCACCTGAATGTTGTCCATAGTGATCAAATCTGGTACGTAAATTGTGTTCATTTTATTCATAGCAATGGATTCTAAACCTATCAATACTACAGCAGTGTTTAAAATACCCGCCTGTCCGACAGTTCGAGACGGTCTATTTTGATGGTCGGGACTTAAAGTTACTAAGCTGACAATCCACCAGTTTATTGTTATTTTCCGAGAACTAAACATAAAACAGTACTACAGTTAACCACGGTTATAACGAACTCGAAGGAACCACTAATTTTAGTTCGTAATAACCGTGGTTCGTTATAAGCATATATACGACATTTAGTCAACAAATGGTCGGGACTGAAAAATAAGTTCGTTATATCAGTCAGTTCATTATATGCGTGTTCGTTATAACCGTAGTTTACTGTATTCTTATGTTTACCCTTTTGTTACTTTTGTTTGTTACTCTAGAAAATTCTGGACTGGTAACATTTTATCTGGTGTGGTAACTTTGCAATGTTGCCAGTCCGGTTGTCTGACTCAAATTTGGGGGGATTTTATTCACTGCACAACCGTCTTATAATTCCCGATATTCTTTAGATTCTCTATTGGATTGTTCCAGGAAAGATCACGTCCGACATGAAACCAACTCCCAGCTCAGGAAGTGGCCGGAGAGATGGGGGTACCTTGTACAGGAGTATGACAGGGTAGGGAAGCCGGGCACAATCGGCTCCAGTACAATAGATCTGCGCATGCGTGGAACGTTTTTCATTCGACAACTTCCGTAAACACGTAAAAACGTTCCTTTCGAAGTGGGGGCACAAATACTGCAGTCTATTGCACATATACTCACCGCGAAAAGAAACGCGACCCATCAACATATAGAGAAGTATCTATGCTAAAAAGAGTTGTTTCCAATGTGTACCAATTAATGACAAAACTAACAATCAGTCAAGTGTTACCACAGAGTGACGTTATTCTGATCACGATATGCTGCACGTGATTTACACGATAATTTTAGGTTTTCAGCAACCCATGCTTGCCGTAAAAAGCGACTATGGGATCGGGTGGTCAGGCTCGCTGAGTCAGGATGATGCATGTCATCGTATTCGAATTGTGTGGATCGATGCTCATGATATTAATCACTTGCTTGTCTGGTCCAGACTCGATTATTTACAGACCGCCGCCATATAGCTGGAATATTGCTGAGTGCGGCGTTAAACAACAAACAAACAATACGAGGGGTGTTCATTAAAGATTTCCCCTGACCCACTTCCGATGGACCTAGTGGAATGAAACTTGGCATAGGTATTAGTCTTTCTCCACATAGGAACCACCAAGAGTTACACACTTCTCCCATCGTTTTATGCAACTATGGAGACCTCGCTTGTAAAAGCCCTCATTTTGCGTCTCAAACCAGGACTTGACTTCAGGAAATCAGTGTTTCATCATCTTGAACTGGCGATGCCAGTGATTAACAACGTCATATGATGGGGCATCTTCCCCATAAGTTGCTTTCATTTCATCGAAAGTTTCTTTTGGTTTACGACCTTTCAAATATAAATACCTAATCACTGCTCGGTATTCTACTGGCTCCATTGTCACACCCTACTCGATCATAACACCTGTAAAAGTGGTAAGATTAATAGTTCGGTGCTGCAAATTCAGACATAACCCATAGATACATGTATCATTACACATGTGAAATTTCAACCAAATATGATAACCCTAAGTGGTTTAGGGGAAATCTTTAATGAACACCCCTCGTACATAATACTTCGTAAGCCATCATATTACGGAGCAGTGAGCACAGGTTACTTGGCTGTCCTTGTAGGAGTGATATAGCAAGTCATTCAAAACAGACAATGTTTATTACGTTTATCAAACTAGAGAGTACTCGGAGACAATTTCTCAGTCTAACATGATAATTACAATGTGGCTGACTGTTTGAAACAACATTCATTCGTCAAACCTGATTCCATGAAATTGACATGAAAGGGGAAAATCCTCCATCATCTAGTGTATGATGTCTCCGTTCTATTATGACAGATGGATTTAACAGGATCGAGACATATTTTACCGAGCAGTCGAAGGTGGACATTTTAGTTAGTACGACTTGTTTGTGTCACAGCCAGAGTATAGAACATATTGACTGTTATAGTGTCATGCCAGGAATAGCTGCAAAATTACTGATACACCGTAAAACCACAATCACTCAATGTTATACATACTTTCCTGACGAAATGCGAATGCGATTAATAACAGGGATCGGTTATGATCCTCAGAGTATGAATATAATTGGTAATGAGAAGTCATTTTACGACCGCTTCCATTATAATCACGAAGGCAAAATTCAGAAAAGGCTGTTTCATGTTCACCCCTCCCAGCATATATTGCAGCGGATATACATGTGTAGTCATCATCCGGTCTGTCCGTCCGTTCGTCCGTCAGGTAGTCAGTCGGTCTGTTTCCGGAGCATAACTTGAAAACCGTGAAAGATATTTCAACCAAAATCGGTACACTTCTTAACCAAGGGCCGAATTGTCTTAGGCTATTGTTTGGGCCGGGGGGATTTGTCATCTTCTGATGACTCTTGTCATAATCCAAAATGCACACGGGTCCATGCATTCACAGCGCTTTCTGTTCTCCTAAACATTTGTTTCATAATCGTAACTTCTGAGTGAAACTGGATGCAACGTGATTGGTCTGAATGTTGGCAATCATACCGCAAACCATGTCTACCAATGAGTCGGCCAATGTGAACAGAGAAAGCCAACATTTGGAGGAAGTGTGGATCTGGGAGTGCGTCTGGTGTCTTGGCCATGACCATATCTTGGGCTATCTGAACCTTGTCTTCCAACAGGTTATTTATGTACTGTGTATTGGATTTTTGTTTGAAACAGGATATTTTTAGAGTCTGGGCTTCATGACATAAGATTTCTCAAGTATGTCAAGTATAATACTTATTTTGGTAACATCTTAATAAATTATTATTTATGAGGATTTTAGGATAAGAGGTATGATAAGATAAGACTTTATTATTCCAAGGGAAATCCATAATGTGTCGTTGATTTGCACTAAAATATCGAAAAAGAAGATATATCATATTAAAATATGTTAAACAGGTACTAATATTATATATATACACAGCAATAGCAAACTTTAATAAAAGGGATAATGACAGGATACGAGTTGTATACAGCGAACTGTTAAAAAGTGGTGAACAGATAATCATCTAAAAGAAGACTTAACTGGCTGGTATGAATGATTTCCGGGCCGTTTGTTTTGGAACAATATTTTTTTCAACCTTCCTTTCCGAACCAGGTTCTGTGGCAGGCAGAATAAAAATTGAATCAGTACAGTCCTAATTTTGTCCTGTGTATGGAAAGTTTGAAGTGTGTCCTGTACCACAGATCTATCTTCAGCAGTCTTGTATAAATGCCTCACTTAAAACAGAAGAGCTTCCATACAGGGAACCGTGTTCCTGGTTTGATAGTTTAATACTCCCCAACATAGTGAGTGAGTGAGTGAGTGAGTTGGGTTTAACACCGCTTTTAACAGTATTCCAGTTATATCGCAGCGTGTCAGCTTAATGTGGGAGGAAAGCCCGAAGTGATGCAGGTCTCAGACGTTTACCACTTCGGTGAAACCCATGAGCACGGGTATGGTGCTGACAAACCTAGAAACATAATCGGGGCGAACTGGGATTCGAACCCACAATCATAGGTTTCTGGCGTGCCCAAGGGATGCAACTCTGCACAGCGAATCGCGGCGCCTTAGACGACTGGGCCACCCGTGCCCCCACTCCCCAACATAACGACCACAAGACATCGTGTAATAACAGTGATGAACACCCGAGTGAACACGGGAGTAAATGGGTTTTTTCGCCAGTAACATACCAGACATATCACAGCAAACAAGTTTTTGTTTGTTTGTTCTCTTCGAAACCTAGATCTTGAAATGGGTCACTTCTAAACCTCCTTTGAGGTTTTACATTTCAACTGCAAGACCTAGGTTTTACAATTGACGTTTTATAAACTGGCCTTTTGATATTGATAGAATATTGATTTCGCTTGTTTTATTTTACATGAAAATTCCATGACTTGAATCGAACCTGCAACATCACATATGTGTTAAGTTTTGTAACCCACTGTCTTCCCACTGAGCGACTGGGGCAAGTGAAGAAAGATTGTCCAATTTTACATGTCATGACTTCAGTCATGTCCGTGCTGCACATTTTTTCTCTTGCAAGCCTTGATTGAATTCCTTTCATACCACAACACACTGTATTGTTTAACTATAAGGTACCTATTGTTTTCCCATTTTTTCTGTTATTTTGATTTTGGTTAAAAATGTAAAACCACAAGCTTGCTCGCAGTTTTAGTTTCAACCAAAAACCGAGGAGTGTCCTATCCTTATACTTTGGTCTCTGATCCAGTAGCATGCAAGGGGAGTTGTTAGGCGGTAGAGGAGGTACTCAGATTGTATTCCCAGAGTGTTTGATTTGTTTGTTTCTTGTTTAAAGCTGCACTCAGAAATATTCCAGCTATATGACGACAGTCTGTAAATAATCAAGTCCGGACCAGACAATCCATTATTGACATCAAGAAGCAAGCATAGGTTGCCAAAGACTTATTCTCCCCCGGATCTTCACGGGTCAGAGTGTTAGAACATCTTGAATCAAATGTTATGTTCCTGCCCAAAGTCTTTCTTTAAGACCACCCAGCCATCTCTGTGTGAACACATCTGAAGCAATCAGTATTATGTTAATATGAAGCAGTAGTATACATTATTCAGCAACATTGCCATATGCTCCCTTGTCTTGTTCTATCAGTGCATCTAAATCTCCCCCACAACCCCCTTGGTTCATTACAGATGACCAGTGTCCTGGAGGGCAAGCCCCCGAAGCCTGGCCAGTCGTTCTATGGCGGCCAACCACAGTCAAAACATGGAGAGATCAGGCTTCCACCAATCAGATGCCTCAAAACAACCAGAGATACTTACTTCCCAGTCACAACAGCCCGTGAGATTGGCTGGAAGACGGTTGGGCCAGTGAAGGACCCCCTGTGTAACAAGTGGGCACCCCGGGCCCGAGGAAAGTTTGGCATCCTGAAGCTGCTGAAATGGCCAGCTGAGGGAGCGCCTTAGCCTCAATGGACTACATCATTACAGACTCCAGAAGCATCTTACCGTTAAAACACAGCTTTTGAAACTGCTTTCTGTCAAATTTAAGACTATGGCTCTTGTTTTAACATTATTTTATTACATTGTTAATATGTACAAATTATTTTCTCATCATATTTTTGCATGAAGGAGTTTGTTTTTTACATAATACTGGTCATGCGCCAGCAATAATCTTCATCAACATTTGGTCTCTTTTGTCAGTGATTGATATCTAAGAAAGAAACATCAGTCTTTATCATCAATTCACAATAAAGCCTTGTTCTTTAACAATTTCCATATGTTCCAATGACCTATAAATGAATAACAAAGATCTGTTGACGTACAGTGGTCTCATCCCCAAAACTCCCCACCGAGGCACATTCATTTCAACAACACTGAGAACATGATAAACTTATTACATGACGCAACATTTAATGAGTCGTATGCACATATCCCTGATGAAGTATGTCCAGGTGCTGTCAGCTGTTTCCGTCATCCTCAACTGTTTTGTCTTCATCTGAAGAATCTGTATCCACGTACACCACCTGTGGCCTGTTGGTATTCACAACCATGTCCGCCAGATCTTCGTCCGAGTCATCGCTTGGTGGCAGCATGTCGTCAGGAATCATATCATTCTTGCCCTGGGTTGTTCTCTCCTCAAATGCTGGTGGCCTTAAACAAATACAGTCAATTGTAGGATGGCTACTCTTTTCTATTGAAATATTGAAATGAGTGGCACAAGAAATTATTCAAACAATTCTGGCACATCTCCAACATCTCACCACAATGCCTTCCTCTCTCACAACAGCCCCTCCCCATCTTACCACAGCCCCTCCAATCTGACCACAGCCTCTCCCCAACTCACCACAGCCCCTCCCATCTCATTACAGCCCCTCCCATCTCATCACAGCCCCTCCAATCTCACCTCCCATCTCATCACAGCCCCTCCAATCTCACCACAGCCCCTTCCATCTTACCACAGCCCCTCCCATCTCACCACAGCCTCTCCCCATCTCACCACAGCCTCTCCCATCTCATCACAGCCCCTCCCATCTCATCACAGCCCCTCCCATCTCACCACAGCCTCTCCCATCTCACCACAGCCCCTCCCATCTCATCACAGCTCCTCCCATCTCACCACAGCCTCTCCCCATCTCACCACAGCCCCTCCCATCTCACCACAGCCCCTCCCATCTCACCACAACCCCTCCCATCTCACCACAACCCCTCCCATCTCACCACAACCCCTCCCATCTCACCACAACCCCTCCAATCTCACCACAACCCCTATCCATCTCACCACAGCCCCTCCCATCTCACCACAACCCCTATCCATCTCACCACAGCCCCTCCCATCTCACCACAACCCCTCCCATCTCACCACAACCCCTCCCATCTCACCACAACCCCTCCCATCTCACCACAACCCCTATCCATCTCACCACAGCCCCTCCCATCTCACCACAACCCCTCCCATCTCACCACAACCCCTATCCATCTCACCACAACCCCTCCCATCTCACCACAACCCCTATCCATCTCACCACAGCCTCTCCCATCTCACCACAGCCCCTCCCATCTCATCACAGCTCCTCCCATCTCACCACAGCCTCTCCCCATCTCACCACAGCCCCTCCCATCTCATCACAGCCCCTCCCATCTCACCACAACCCCTCCCATCTCACCACAACCCCTCCCATCTCACCACAACCCCTATCCATCTCACCACAACCCCTTCCATCTCACCACAACCCCTCCCATCTCACCACAACCCCTATCCATCTCACCACAACCCCTCCCATCTCACCACCACCTCTCCCCGTCTCACCAGAGTCCTTCGTCCTTGATGTGCTTGATCTGGTCCTTGTACAGGATACTGAGGATCTCTGCTCGCACCTTGTCTCCCTCGGCAATAGGCTCCACCAGCACAAAGTCTCCTGGATAATATGTACAGTATGGTAGTTAAACAGACTAATCATTCTATGGATGTTTCCCCAGGGGGAACTTAATACTAGAATAGAAACCAATACATGTTGTTAGAAGGACCTTTTTATATTTTGCAACTCCAAAATTTTTGGCAAACCCACTTGTATTCATCTCTGATGCAATTAGTAGTCATGTAGCAACACACCTTCAGTCACGTATACTAAGAAACATCACCATATCAGCCAGATCACAACTGACAGTTCGTCCTTCCAAAATGTCTTCTTCAACAATGCGACCAAAATGTGAATATGATTCTGGGTATGACATTGTATTCATCAATTAATGATCAATCAATTAATCATGAGTAAGTGAGTTGAGATTTATGCTGCCTCTGGCAATATTCCAGCAATATCATGGTGTGGGACTCCAGATTTAGGCTCCACACACTGTACCCACATGGGGAATCAAACCCAGGCATGGCGAGCAAACACTTTTACCACTACACTACCCCAAGTAAAAACAAACTTGCATTACAAGAATTCTGCATGAATACATTTGTCTTTTCTCATAAAAAATAGCTTGTCGGCTATAATAAGAGAAGAAATGACAAAGCTGTCAACTGCAACAAAATTACAAGGAAAACACTACAGTTACTACAAAGAAATAGCTACAGGCCTCACAAATACAACTCCATTACCGGACTCTTAAGCTGTACCCTCAGTCCCATCTATTAAAAGCTCTCATCAAATCGTAGAAAATTAATCGATCACTGATACAATGATAAATTTCTTGGTTAGAAACAAAACTATCTCTGATGACAACTATCTCTGACTGAAATAGACAGCATTAATCAACAACAAACTTCACTGAACAGCTTACTATGCAACCATGGAACGAAAAACCAAACAAACAATAGACCAGTATCTGCAGTTCCCTTGATCAAGTCATTACAAATTGGCCTCAGTTAAGGCAGCATGGAAAATTAGGAGTTAATTGACTGAATGTGCTATGTCCGTTCCAGCTATGTTAAAACCATAATAAAAGCACACAAATATGTCAAATCCTTCATATCAATATCATACATGAAGCATGACACTGTAATTAATAAATTAAGCACAATAAATAGATTAAAATAAAAACTCCAAAGTAAGATGACAGTATTTTCATCATTTGGTACCTTAAACTTCATCAACTTAGGGGAATATTTGTTGTTGCAGAGCTCCAGATAAGCTGCGTATCAGAAATGCAGAAATATGCAGTAAAATTAAATCCAAGCGTATCAAGTACGCAACGAACATTACAGATACACTACAAAAATAAAACTTGTGCGTATCATCAAAATATTGTGAAGAAACCCTGCGTATTCGATTAGCGAATCAGCAACTTATTTTGAAATTATAAACGGGTATTCCGTCAACCTTGCCAAACTCCACGATGACAGTTACATCATGATCATTTGCCATTACACTTTCTTGTAGAATTATCGTGGTATTTGTGAGTCCTAAAAAGCTCTCTAACCCACATGACACCAGTTTGCAGGGACTAGATGAATAGTGTTTATAAATAATTAACTTAAATACCCACATATGTAAAACTAGTGGGTAACAGAAATTTGAATACGCAGATAGAATTACTGATACCCAATGATTTTAAAATGCATGGGTAAAATACCCACAACACCAAAAGCTTATCTGGAGCTCTGTGTTGCCATAAGTTACTTCTCCTAATTGTACCCACTAATTTGTATTTTATATATACTGAATTTAAACATAATAAGATATATTAGGCACTTTAGCTGTTTAGTGTGTTTTAATTTTTTAGTAATTGTCAACCCATTATTTGGACACACATGCTACTAATCTTTATTTTAAAACATAACAAGCATATAGTTGACAAAGTCATCTATATCCCCCGCCCACTTTAACACGTTATGGTCCCAAACCAGGTAACTGACCCAACATTTCTCTTAGCCCGTGTCCAAATAGCTGCAATGGAAATTCTAAAATAAACATTTCTAAAACTCCTTAATATCAAATGGCACTAGTTCAGTATGCGTTTTATATATAGACATGCAATGTTTGGCAAGGAAATATTTAACAGTTTATTTGTTATACTACTTAAGTAAACCAATCCTATATTAAAACTTAAATCCAACTTGTTGTCATGGAAACATAAACAATAAAAATTTCTAAAAGTGCTATATATCAAAGGCACCAGTTCAGTATGTGCCTGGTAGACATGCAAAGTTTTGTAAGAAAGTATTTAACGGTTTTCGAGTTACACTCTGGAAATGAACACCACCCCTGTAGAACCTAAGTCCAACTTATTGCCATGGAAACGTGAAAAATAAAAATTTCTAAAATTCCTAAATAGCAAGAGGCACCAGTCCAGTATGTGTCTGGTAAACATGCACAGTTTTTGTTGGAAACTATTGAATGGGTTTTGTGTTATGCTCCGGAAACAAACTCTACCCTATAGAACCTAAGTCCAACTTGTTGCAATGGAAACGTAAAAAATAAAAATTCATAAAATTCATAAATAGCAAAAGGCACCAGTTCAGTATGTGCCTAGTAGACATGCAAAGTTTTGTAAGAAAGGATTTAACAGTTTTTGAGTTATGCTCCGGAAACGAACACCACCCTTATAGAACCTAAGTCCAACTTGTTGCCATGGAAACGTAAAAAATAAAAATTTATAAAACTCCTAAATAGCAAAAGGCACCAGTTCAGCATGAGTCTGATAGACATGCAAAGTTTCGTAGAGAAATATTTAACGGTTTCTGAGTTATGCTCCGGAAACGATTTCGGGACGCACACACGCACACACACACACGCACACACACGCACACACACGCACGCACGCACACACACACGCACACACACACGGACGGAACCCATTTCTATACACACACACACACACACACACACACACACACACACACACACACACACACACACACACACACACACACACACACACACGGACGGAACCCATTTCTATATCCCCCGCCAACTTCGTTGGGGCGGGGGATAATAACAATTAAAAGTTAAAAGTTACTTAAAACATCAATATATTTCTCTTTACAAGAGTATGTCAGAGCTGGTCCATTGGCCCGAGTCTTGTAATTTTCTCAAGGATCTGTGGAATGAATTTATGATTAATGGTGGCCAGGTTGTGCAGTAGTACTTTGGAGGGCTCTGTTGATCTAGTTACCACTTTGGTGAAACCCACGAGCACGGGTATGGTGCTGACAAACCTAGAGACATAATCGGGGCAAAATGGGATTCAAACCCATGATCATGGGTTTCTGGCGTGGCCAATGGATGCAACTCTGAACAGTGTCTAGATCACAGGACCACCCATGCCCCCATCAACAACCTATTTGACAACCCTGTGTGGTATAGTGTTTGAAATTTATTATCACCTGAAGGGATACGATGTGTTTTTTTTTTAAAGCGCATATTAATATCCGATAAACCTTTTTTTTTACACTATGAATTATGAAATAACTCCTATTCTAACCCTTTTTTGTAACTCGGAAACGTGCAACGTAGATCGTTTTAAGTAGGCAGAGCATGAATACTGTTTTGTTGGTCATCTACCACCTACGACTCGACCTTCGTTAAACCGCTGATCATCTATAACGCTCATCAATTATTTGGACCTCGAAGGTAGCGTTGTAGCGAGGGATCACTGTATTAATCGGTCACAAACTATACTTTTTCTATCTACTGGTCTTCTGGATTACTGACATTGATTAAAACCATGAAAAGATTTGGAAAATATCTGTTGAATTGCTGATACGCATGTTTTGCAAATCCTGTAATCGACAATAATCTGAATGGCAGTTTACAAACCGGATATCAAGTTTATTACACAATTTGATTGGACTATGCATAGACTCATTAGTCCAGAAAAATATAACTCCATGATGCCAGCCTTGTTTGCCAAGGGTGGAAACTGGACTTTTATAGTCAGTCAACTCCCTTGCCTCATGAAGATGTATCTGAAATGACTATGATGATGTAATTGGCAGTATCAGAGTACTCACCTCTCTTTATCCACACATTCTTCCTGAACCTGGTGGGCATACTGACTAGGTATCTGTTGCTTTGGGCTGTCTCTACTTCATGAAGGTTGTTGCCTCGACTGGCTGTAACCTGTACATAAAAGTATACAACCTGTGATTATCAGAGTTACCATGGTTTCAGCTCATATCCAATGCAGATTATCTACCTGAAGTTTCAGCAATCCAGCCTGTAAGATGAAGCCAAAACTTCAACATGAAACTATTTACCACTGTTGAGATTGTATTTATCATAACAGAATGGAGATGCATTAATAATTCTTCTTGATAACTGGGAATGACTAAGCCAAGTGGTGTTCGTGACATGTTGTATAAGCCATGTTAAGGGGGCTTCAAGGGTCCTTTCGGATTACTGAATGACAGTCAAGTATTATCAGGATAATCAATGGTCAAACCACAGGTAACCATGACAACCCTTGAATGTCATGATTGATTTCTGAAAGGATGTCGATAAATTAGAAAGTAAAAGGTGCTAAGAAGGTAATTGTGTTGCTCCACATTATTCATATCGTAAATGGTGGTAAGTTTTCAGAGTACTCTAGTTTCCCACTGCCTTGATAATCAGTTGTTATTAAGTAAATATGAAAATTACACTGCTGGGGCTGTTGTCGGCACAGAAACTGCAGAAAAGTAGTGTTGAAATTCTCTGCCTGTGTGGTAGTCGGTAAGCATGGTTTTACCAAGCTTTAGCAATATCCCATCAAATCAAATGACACCAGTAAAGGGCTTCATACACTAGTATCCATGTGGGGAATCGAACCCGAGTCTTTCGGCAGCATGCTCTACTGCACCACCACTCTGTGTGTGTGTGTGTGTGTGTGTGTGTGTGTACACCATATATATATATATCAATCTCTATTTTCACAACATATGACAGTGGTTTCGGTTTCAGTTTCATTGAAATGCAGCATGATGCAATATGCTGCAAGTGTAATCTTGACTTTAGCGCCATTAACATTACCACACTAGGTTACTTCTCTTTAAACAGAAAGGTACCGGGGTACATTTCTGTAATACTTTGGGTGACAACGTTTTTGTTACTTTGTGATACAGCTACGAATCACATGTGGGTAAACAGCACCCAAGCAGAATATTGCACACGACTGAGTTAAGTGACAGACAAACTCAAACCGGTTTCGTGAACATTTAACAGTGGCGTTTATATATTGGCAGGCACGGACATACTTGTATAAACAGATTGGTACCTGGAGTATATTTTCTGTACTACTACCAACTGTGCCGACAACGACCCCGAAACTGATTTCCCAGTAGTGATCTGTGACTTACCCTGACGATCTCTTGGTCTCCTTCAGGAAGAACATAGTCATTGAGAACCTCTTTCACGACATGCTTTCTCTTGGTAGCTTTGGACATTTCACACAACTGATACTGTTAACAAGTGTTATGATGTATCTTTTAGTACAACTGAAAGAGCGTTCAAGCAGACTAAAACATTGCTCAACACATTGGACAAGGGAGATAATCAGACAACTTCCTGTCAAATATATGTGTAGACCACTAAAAATAAATCTAGCTGACACCTGCACATTGTCGAAAGGCGGGTGAAATAAAGCATATGCGGGTATTTGGATGTATCACGGACGTATATACGTCTTTGGATGTATTAAATGTTTGACGTGTCAACAGAAAATATTGCAAATACACTTCACAACAGAAAATAATCACATCATACGTTGTGAGGATCTGTACACATTTCATTTGTTTTCAAATTTGTTGCATTTGTAACGAGTTGGTATTAAGCATGATATGAGGACCGATTTGCGTCGCAGTATATAAACACACAAGGCATTTTAGAAAGTTGTCAAATGTAACAAATGTTATCTTTGGGATAACATTTTCTGAATAAAGTACAGATTCTCGTACTTTTATATTTTGGTACTTAGAAAGTGTTATCCTAAATATAACATTTGTTACATTTGACAACTTTCTAAAAGGCATTGTGTGTTCATAGCTTTCGATCATTGGAGCAGTGCCAATTTACACTTGTCAGAGGGGTACACAAAATACGTAATGAAGACAACCATTTGTCGGACTATCATTTTTGTGGAAGCCTCAGTGGCTGAGTGGGTTAGATCTCTGGCTTTGTGTGCTGGCGATTAGGCGACTCACTCTGGCGGTGTGGGTTCGAAGTACGGACGGGACTCAACCCCAAAAAGTACGAGAATCTGTACTTTACACAAATATTACACTTGTTATACTAGTATAGAGGCCTATTCATAATCAATTACATTTACATAAAGCGTTCTTATCGTTATTAAAATTACAGGTGCCATTTTTTTCAGTTGAGGTGACGCTTTTGCCCGAGAAATCGGTGACGTTGTGCTAAGGTGCCGTTTTAGCCTGCATGAGAGCATGTCGAGAGTTTGAGCGGGGTAATGACAATGCCCTCTTAATAAATCAAGTTAAAATCTAAATATATACTCCGAACATCCGATTTTTTCGTATACCTATGGTTAGTCAGTGATGGCTGATTGCATTGCAAAACACAATCTCATATTTGTGTGTTCTTTAACTTCTTTTGAGTAGTATATGCAGTAACTGTGAATGCCATTATACTGTTATTATTTGATTTTATGATCAACTTGTATGGCGTGTCTTGTCTTGTACAAATCTACATAGCATTGTATATGTACATGCATATCATCATTTGATAAACACCGCCGTGAGTGAGTGAGTGAGTATGGTTTTAGGGCGCTTTTGACAATATTCCAGCAATATCACGGGACACCAGAAATGGGCTTCACACATTGTATCCATGTGGGGAATCCAACCTGTGTCTTCGGCGTGACGAGCGAACGCTTTAACCTTTGACAAGGGTGTTATCTGGCTTGATATACTTGTATGTACTTGTGTAAACCACACATATTGAACGCTTTATTTATTTTTATTTTTTTTTGGGGGGGGGGATGTTGTTTAACGCCGCACTCAGCAATATTCCAGCTATATGACGGCGGTCTTCTACGTTGTAATATATGTGAATCTTGATAACGTAAACACATATGTGTATGCAAACGAAACTACATAGCGTTCTATATCTGTATCTAACACTTGTGTCTACCACAAAATGTTGAAAACGTTTAGCTATAAAAAGAAAAATAGCCATGAAACGTATAGGAATAGAGCACTGAAATACTATCAAAACCCATTTTCATGTACGGCATTATGGGAAATATCGCTTTCTCGTTTTCTCGTATCGCTCTATCGCTTTGTCACTTTGTCGCCTCGTTCTATCGCTTTCTCGTCTCGTGTTATCGCTTTATCGCGGCCGTTATTGACGGCGAGAAAGCGATGTCCCCTCTCGGCCATCATAGAGTAGGGTCATGTTGCTGACAGTCGACTGGGCGGGTCATGGATCGAGCCCACGAACAGCGGATGTCAGCCTGGTCAGGGGACGCAACTCTTGAACGTAACAATTGGTTGTTACCCCTTTGAATTGGGCGTTTGCAAGACTTGCAAGTCAATATGACCTCGGGCTGGGACGAGTCCAAATTTACTACCCGGGTACCCAACCCCCTATTACCCGACCCTACCCGGGTACCCGCTGTATAGGTCTCATGAGAAAGGTACACAATGTCTGACTTGGAAAGGTCTACCCTGGCAAAATATACTAGTATTTAGATACACGTATAAAACGATCTTGTCATGCAAAAACTGAAGTTTACTGCATGAAGTTTTATGGGCCTACCTTTACCACAAACTTTTCAAACACCTGACAATACCCTACAAGTAGAGATTGCTGCAGAGCATCAATAGCTCCCCGCAATATAATGTTATGTGCAGAGGAAGGAAGTGTAAGCTATGGGAGGAGAGAATTTGTGTTAAGTACAAATTGGTTGTTAGTAATGTACTTATCTTTGGAAAGCACAATAAAAGAAACAGTGTCTGTAATTGGTCAGCACAAAGAAAACCCAGGCAAGAAAACTGGGCCTGTCAGGCAAAACTTGATATATACCCACTATTATTACCAATAAATAAATCCTATTTAGATAACACAACAAATGTCATTCTAAAGCATGCATTTGCAGCAAATATCAATATTTCTGGTCAATATGTTGGTTGGGTTAAATAAAGCAAACTTTTAAAATAGTAAACACAAAAAATGTAATGAATCCACTCTAAATATACTTCAGTTCAAATGTAAAAATTCACGCAATCATTAATGGATTCCCATTTATCTAGCAGCAAGTTAGGAACATACAGTTTAGTCACGTTATCTATAAATATTGAGAATTATCTTACATATTGTAAAAACAAAGGCCATAGGTCACTTTTCTGAAAACTTCGTTTAAGTAATCACAAACTAAAAATTGAAAAAATTGTAGATATACAAAAACACCAACCCCATTTGAACAACGTCTCTGTGAAACATGTGATGTCTCAGAAGATGAACAACATTACGCACTGTCTTACATAATACAACCAAGAAAGAGAATCACAAATAATCCCCAATCATGATAAAGAATTTGGTACACTCTGTTAAAAGGAGCAGATTCTTAATAAGTTTACCAACAGTTATCCAGAAACAACTTCCAAGATCTGTTAACATATCAACAATTACAAACAAATTCCTTGTACATGTATGTACAACATTACCATAGTTTTGCTCAATTCTCATATTGTTTCCATATCATTATAAAACACTTGTTTTTGAAATAAAATTGTTATAATGTACCTCCTTTGAATGTTGAATGTTCCTGTGTTTCTTAATTGTCGTTTATTGAAATTATTGTGCATGTATTTTGTAGTTTGTGATTGTGTAATATTGCCACTGTTTCTTCATGGAATGTTCCGCAATACATATCTCATCTAAAACATCTTTGTTGTATAATAGTTTCTTACAGTTGTTTACAGGGGCATGGTTGGCCCAGTCGCCGAAGGCGCTGCAATTCGCTATACAGAGTTGTGTCCCTTGGGCACGCCAGAAACCTATGACAGTGTGTTTGAATCTCGGTTCGCCCCGATTTTGTTGTCAGCACAAAACCCTTGCTCGTTGGTTTCACCAAAGTGGTGAACGTCTAAGACCTGCATCACTTCAGACTTTCCTCCCACATCAAGCTGAACCGGAATACTATTCAAGACGGCGTTAAACCCAACTCACTCACTCACTCTTGTGTACAGTTCCGTTTGGTTAACTGGGTTTGTGTTGTGATTGCTTCCGGCTTAGATTTGAAATTTGTTTAGAAGAATGTTACTATGTTCAACCCAAACATCGTGAAGATATCATGCAACCGTATTATCTTTTTGGAAACTAATTGCAAACTCCAGACCAACCTGTTGATTTCCTATGTATCCAGAAGCAAGGAACATATACGGGTGTATGATCTCTGCTGGAAGTTTTTTTGTTTTTTTGTCAAAGCAATAAACCATGCAGAAACGTAAACCGCCGCATGAAACGGTATGTACCATACATTACATACAGTGAAGTATTTAAAACAATGCTGTGCTCAACTATGCACAGCAAGCGCCATACATGTGATTATGAAGACAACTAGTAAAAAAATTCTCATATCAAACCCGTTGTTTTACATGTATTGTTTATTGAACAAAGTCATACTTTATAGAAGCCTGGTATTTAACCGTGTTGAACAATATGTTGCAATAGCAGTGTGAAAATTGAGTGCGCGTGACAGACTGGGCCTAAATTCCTTCCTGGAACGTTTCTCGATGGCTGCCTGAATAACATACGATATATTGCAAAGGTAGTGCGCAATTGAGCTGTTCGGGTAAGGGAGATAATCACTCACTCTCAGTGATACAGCTTGAATAAGATACGACGTACAGCAATGCAAGGTCAGTGCGTGATTTATCACTTCTATACTACGCCTATAGCTAAAGGAGATAATCGCTCAATGCGCAATAGTTTATTCTTACAAAATATAGACCGGTTAACTTTAGCGAAATGGGATCATTTTTAGCTCTTTAAAAACAAAATGAACAAATTTCATGGGTTATCAGCATTACGAAAAGTGACTAAGTCTCAGAATAGCAAGACGATTTTGAAGTATCTCTTTTGCTGGAAAAGATAAACATCAACATTTCACGCACATTTCACATGATTTGTATGTTTCGTTTCGGTAACTGTGTGGCTTGAAATTTCAAAGAAACCAACATGTCGACTTACATGCTATAAAATTAACCTCTCCCGTATACTTCCCCGCCTTAAGGGCGGGGAAGAATGACGTAATTTGTAGTATTTTGTTGCCAGTCACACCGGCGAAACAATGGCTTGTGACGTCAGGGGTCATCGAGTGTGCATAAGCTCCCCCCAGTGACCTACCATCTTTACACGAAATGTCACTGAATACGCCAAGCGCTGTGGAGAGTTTTGAATATTTGTTTACCGAATATAGCCTGCGGCGGCGCATTTTATAACAAGCGCTAGTTTACGAAAGCACTTTTATTTTTTATTTTACAAATTTTCGGTGACTTGTAGCGTAACCATAGAGTTTTAGATACTTTTTGTCAT